CTTGCGGCTTTTAATTCGTCCCGACATTACCCGATACTATGGCAGGAGAATGTATCCTGTGTATCCTGTACAGGTACGCGTATTGGAACGCGCGATTCAACTAACGTGAAATTTTCAGCAAGCGTCAAGACAAAGAGGCAAGTGGAAACTATAGAAATAAATTTTGCAAATTAAAAGTTACGTCTGATTACCTTGCTCGACGTGAAAATTGTGAAAGCTAAGATCGCAGTATTGAAAGTAAAGGAATAAGAGATGATTACAGGATAAATGCAAATGTCGGACACTTTCTGTGTAACAGACATTGCACGCCACTGACGATTTTTCACTTTTCGTCTCGCAGTTGCGCAAAGCTGTGCGGTATATCGAAAGCCGCAACGCCATCGCTGCTGATCTTTCTACAGTTAGTTAACGCAGAGAGAGGAGAAGAAAAAAGCCTCGACCAGAATACATTTTATTTTATACCGGTTTCCACAGTGTTCCTCGAGTAGTGAGGGAATTGTAAGACCGTGATGCTTCCGCGAGTTCTTTATCTTATCGTGAACGCGATAATGTTTCTGCGGTCGCACTGCATCGAAAGTAGAATAGACTTTTAACATTGTAACTTGTTTGAGAAAAACAAAAGATAGATGAAAAGCTACTCCAAGTACAAACGATCGCTGTGATCAGAATGAAATATAAAAAATTCCTGCTAGTGTTACGCTACAAACGCGAGAAGATACACATCAAAGTACAACTTCTGTTTGAATGACTGAATGGTTTGCTACTTACACGAGTTATCACGAGCGATTATGCGTAATCGGCTTTTCGAAATGTCACCCGGAGCTATTTACTATTTATTTTTCGTTTTTGGCACGAAAATATTCCACTACTCTTCGTGCCATATCTTACTAATTTCAATAGGAAACTTTCTATATAAATTACGAAAGAAGATAGTCCTTCTGTCAATGTTCTACAGAAATATTCAATTCTGCTAATTTTTAAGAGCGTTGCAAAACTGTCGAGTACTCGCAGAAGTGACTCGATCATGGATGAAATATTTTTTTATTCTTCCCGTGTCATTAAGAAAAACCTCATAAAAATGGATACGGACTACTTCGCGCAGGAAAAGAAAGTTTCTACTTCTCACTCTGAAGTTTTTCCTATCGTGACAAGTCGATTGTTCGTAACGTAGTCGTTTCTCCGGTTAATCCCCAGGCAACCTACTAAGAAACGAAGGCCGGTAGACAGGGAGCAAGTGCGATTAAGTGGATCCAACAGGGTTACGGAGGCGCTCGGTATAGTTTTTCACTCCACGTTGCGAGGCGGCCCCGCAATGTGCGACGCCTTGGCATGCGGGGTTCTCACAGAGAATTCCTGGTTCCACGAACAAAAACTGCGGGACATACGACGAGGATAAACTCTGTCCATCGAAAAACATCGACACCATAACATAAAATAAAAGCGATATATTTTTTCTTGTTTTAAAACAAATTTTATTCTCGTAGAACGTTAGAGAAAAAGAATGGACTTTCAAGCGTAGATTTCCAAAGATTTGACCGAACACTATACATCGTTATATAAAAAAATTCACAGAGCAGTAGTGACCAGGATGCTCGTGCGCAGTCGGTTTCTCAAAGAAACTAACGGAAGAATTCAGCCGTTTTGCAACGACCTTTGACGCAGCCTCGTGTGAAACGGGCCAGACAAACGCAAATACAATGAAAACGCCACACGATGTACCTGTGTATTCAACAACCGTGTGTTTAATATCTAGAGCTACAGAAACTGGGATGCCGGCAATAATGCAAAGTTCGCGGTTTAAATGCGGTGACCCTAATTTTTATTGACCGAGCCGGTCGACACGACTAATATCGACCGAGGCGAGTAATCGACTTCGACCTGCTTCGCGAACCATCGAAATTCCACTGCTTCTACGTACTGCCAACAAAGTGTTGGAGATTCCGTTTGAATGTTCAAATGGTTTGAGTTGACGTGAGCTTTCTCTCTCCGTTTCCTCGCAGATGTCGGACACAAACTGGCCACCCTAAACATCTTGTTGGGATCAAGGGACTCCGGGAGAGTCATGTTTCTGTTCGCGCAAAAAGGGACGCGAAAGCGAGCCGCGCACAGTTGCAGCTTGATGAACTTGGGGACACTTTGGATCGTGAGAAATTCGTCCTCCACTCAAAGCCGACTTCTCTCGTCGAATCAACGTCCAAACAAGATCAGCCAAATATTCCAGGTATTTTGCGTGATGCAATAATTTTCGAGTATAATTGATAATTTAATCATTTAATCATCCCGTTTGCACACAATCGAGAGTAACCGCGGCTATTTTTGGCAGGATAGTAATCGAGCGAACGACTACGTCAGAAATGATTAAACGGCGGATTAAACGGCCATGTCTCGTCGATGAATCCTATTAGCGCGAGGACACACGTGGTCCAGCTGTTAATAAGCGCAGGAGATCGTTTTGTTCTCGTTTTCACGAAACGACGAGTTTCAACGCCCGTCACGGACAACGTTTTGTTCTCCTCGTTTGCTTTATTAAGCAACCACGTCATTGCTTTTTGTACCCTCCCGCGAGGCTTCCGAATCATTCTCTCTTCGCCGAACGCGTGACTTCTTTCATTCAGCGTGGTCTTTTATTCGATTTAACCCTTCTTTGATTACGAACAAATGGATCCAATCAACCCTCTCCCCCTCCCCTATTTCGATCTAAACAATCGCGGTCAATGCGAAGAAGAAACGTGATTTCCTGCGATTTACCTGCTGCGATGTTGCGTCGGCTGGAGAGAAGCTGGAAAGGGCGGTTAGGGGTGCGAGCGAGGCGCACGAGGATGCCCTCGAGGGCGGTGGTGTGTGACCAGGGCTAGGACTTCCGCTTCCGCAGCTACTAGCACCTCCGCTCGATGCCAGGCTCACGCTGTCTGCTCGCCCTCTCCACGGCGAGACTGACACGTGTTTCAGCATCCCTCTTTGATCTCACCTGAAAATCACATTCAATTCTTTCTTTCATTCTTTGTTCAAAATAAAGAAGCTGTTAATCGGCAGGTATCGAATTACAAAGAAATCGAGCTGATCAACTTCGTTCGATCATTCTTGAAGAACTTGAGAGTTAATCGAGAGTTAAGAAACACCAGAAATCGGCGATCCATTAGAGAAAATAGATGCTGAATTTAATGAGGCACGCAAATGTTGGAATCGAAAGACTTGCGGAGAACAAAAGAAAAGTAGAATAAAAACAACATCTAGCGTCGTGCATATATGATATTACGTGGCGATTCAAATATGTATTTGAATCTTCTTTCCAACGTGTTCGAATTGAATAATTTCGTTGGAATAATATTTCCGAGAAGCAATTTTTCCATTGTACATTGTAATGCTTATTGTCGTATCATTTAATTGTGTTCTTCCATTCCGCTAATTAATCCAATAACGCGGATGGAACTAGTTTACTGGTCGGATAGGAAGGATTAACAAGAATTCAGAAAACAGGTTGCTCCAATTTCATCTTATCGGAGATGCTATTTAAAACGAACAAGATAACATAGGATATGTGTATACGCGGCATGTATTTAGGATAAAACGCCCGTGTGATTGGTAGGTTCTTCAGCCTCCCTCCTCAAGGCTACAAAAGGAAAGAGCCGTGATGAAGGCCGTTCGATAATTATCGAGAATGTACTGCCGAACGATGGCGATCGTTAAGCTAGTACATACATATACATATGAGCGCAAGCGAAAAAAAAAAAAAGTAGCATCGACGTAATTTCCAGAAATGAAAACAGCATGATCGAGGAGTGGAGAGGAGAGGAGAGGAGAGGAAAGCCCTTGGAAATCGCGTAAACAGCGTGAGAGGCCGGCGCAGCTGCGTGCCAGAAGCTCGAGAAGCTTAAACATTCGCGTGAAGTGCGACGCGCATCCAAGAGGAAGCCGTACGTGGCCCGATTGTTAAATGTTTCCATAACAAGGAAGCGCAAGAAAAAAACTGGTAACCATTCTCACAGCGTTAACTGTAACCTTCTCATTAATAATAAACAGCCATTCTAACAACGATCGATGCTCAATACGTGGCCGTACGAGCCACGTATGGAAGATATACATTCGGCTCACTGAATTTAATGCGTTGCAAAATTGGCCGTGATGAATTATTCCCGTTTAATTAGAAGCGCGCCGCTGCGAAGTTTACAGAGCTGTGACTAGGTGTTCATATGTTCGAAATGCTGCACGTGCTGCAGGAAAGAACCAGACGGTATCGATAACGTTATCACGCGATGAATATTCTATACGTGTACTCACTTTTTTTTTTACCAATTCACAGCAGAGTGCAGGCTGCACTCGCAAACCGGTGGCATACGTCAATGCGCGGCAGTCATGTTTACACTTGGCGAACAAGTGGCATTGAGTGTGAAACCAATAATAATTGCACCGTTACGACACTATCGTTAACAAATTACTCTCCGAATATCGTTCAACGGATCAGTAGGCACATCATTCAGACAGTCACTGTTAAATCTTCGGGAAGAAGTCGATCTTCCAAAAAAAAAAAATTCGTGATACCGAGCCTCTACTCAATTGACTTCTCTCGATTTTCCGCGACGATGCACAAGCGGATTCGCGCCAACTGCTACCGTTATTTGTATTCTCAGTCTTCTGACGACTTCACAACTTTGGAATTGAAGGAGCAGAGAAACGGAGAAGGTGTCGCGCGAGGAATTGTTTTCGGAGCGAGGAACGATACGGCTTGTCCAGCGTTGAAGTCACCCGTCAACCGAGTGCTACGGTGAATCCACACGCCACGAGCGCTGCGTTACGACTGAAGGGGACGCGTGAGCCGTCGTGTAAAGTCGGCGTAGTAAGCCTACGGAGTCGCAGAGGAAAGAAAACGACCTTCCTGCGAGTGCACGAGACCCGTCCAACGTTCTATGCGCGCGACTCTCTTTCTCCGTGTTGGTGGCGGGGGCGTGAAACTCAGAATCGTACGTCGGTCGTGTGTCCACAGACTGTCCTCTCTCTCTCTCTCTCTCACACACACACACACACACGCACACTGTATCTCAATCAATCTCTCTTTCTCTCAGAGCTTGCAACTTTTCAGCAAGCCGAAATTCGATTTTTGCTTTCGTCTCGATTTCGTCGTCATGAGTTTTCGGAGTGCATATATATTAGGAAAAAGATGATTTATAAAGGTTTTTAATGTAAGAGCAAATTTATCTCTATTAATAATAATTAGAGTATGACACATTAACACACGCACACTGTATCTCAATCAATCTCTCTTTCTCTCAGAGCTTGCAACTTTTCAGCAAGCCGAAATTCGATTTTTGCTTTCGTCTCGATTTCGTCGTCATGAGTTTTCGGAGTGCATATATATTAGGAAAAAGATGATTTATAAAGGTTTTTAATGTAAGAGCAAATTTATCTCTATTAATAATAATTAGAGTATGACACATTATGTATCTATGGCTTACAGGAAATTTCAAGGAAACATTCCATTTTTCAATTGTATTTCCACGAGAAAAAAAATTGATCAACTGAGTTTGAGAAATTGTTTGAAAATTCTCCTCGAGTAAATAAAAGTCTAAGAAATTTTTCGATATAACTTGTTTCCCTTCGTTTTCCAAGTTGACGAGCAAGTTACACGGAAGAAGCAAGATACGTGATGAAATTTAAATAAATCGGCTGGACGATGTAACAAAACGATGGGACACAACATTTATATATTACGTGTAGGTTTGAGTACGTGGGTACAAGGTGTCGAATGATATTCTTGATTTATTTGTTAGAGAAACATCGAGCGAGAAGCAATCACAACCCTATGGCAAGGCAACGACTTTAAATGGCGATTGAAATTCCGTGAACGCAGCAAGTAGCTTCCTAAGCGAGTAAGTTACAAATGTCTTTGGAACAACAAATCCTACCTACTAATGGACGTCACGCGCGACTTTCAAGATTCTGGAAAAATGCAGTTTAGCTGCTAATGGCTATCGCGAATATACACGTCTAGACATTTCATTCTCCGGAAGTGTAGACGAAGTTATTACGAGATTTTTTCTAAACAGGACTGTGAGTCTTTCCAAGCAAATAATCCATCAGATGAATGTCTAAAAACCTCTGTTTTCTTTTTTTTTTTTTTTTTGGAGAATGAATTTTTTAAGACAGTCTTTTTTTAATAAAAGAAATGAAGAACGTGACAGACTGTTCTCTGATAAACTCCTACGCGATATGTCGCGACTTGCGAGTTAAATCGACCGTGACAGCTAGTTATCTTTGACATAGAAGTTTCATCTTCGTCTTCTGGAAGGCGAATATTTTATTTATGCGCCTTTTACAAAAAGAATTACGAGAAAACGAGATCTGCTTCCTACGTAATCACATGAAATCCGTGAACGCATGGGCGTCGATTATACGCCGAAAGAGAAAAGACTTCGCGTTAATTTCTTCCAAGAAATACGATCGATTCTCACGTAGGAGTGAAATTACAAAAATATCTGTGACTTACACGAAAACGTCCATATTTTAGAGACATGTATCATTATTTGCTAGGTGATTGGAAGAAATTAAAATTTTGTAATGGTCTAGATACAATCTAGATCGAATAAGCGTGATCTCTCGAGCATCATTTCGAAAACGACTGAAGCTACTTCTTTCGTGCTGGTGATAGTCTTTTTTGTTGATTTCTCCCGCGGCGTAACGGAGAGCTTCTCTTTCATCGAGATCCTATGGATTGCGCCTTTGAACAGGTGGAAACGCTTCACATGTGCGTTCGTGAGCGCCACTTCGCTTACTCACAAAAGCAAGGAAGGGAATCGAGGCAAACGGAACCGATTGGTCCTTAGTGACCAGGTTGCTATTGAGTGGTGAAAAGGACAAGTGGGAAGTGTATTGTAATATTTGAATGAACCTCGCCTTGCAAAAATATTCGAAGCTTGTTGACACTATATAGATATACAACTCTTAAAAAATATATCAAATGAAGACACATCGAAACTGGTATTTTTTAAATTGGAATTTGTCAGTTCTTCTACATAAGCCTGATGCAGATTAAATAAATTATTAATTAATTAGCAACTTAATTGGCAACATTCTCTTTTTATTATAATCGTGTTCCCTTGTCGCTCGAGGTTAAAGACCCCGATTGCAATGTCGGTGACATCAGAAGCATTTTATAAAAATCTCAACCCTTAAGCAGAAGAATATCGGGTAAACATACCGCAACGTGAAAGTCGTGGAGTCCCAGCGACGCGTGATATCGCGATTTCCTGAAGCAACACTCTTGCCTTTTGTCGCGAACAACGAGCCTGCTGTGAGAAGCATTTCCCTCGACTGTCTGGCTTCGCTCGCGACGATCTCAAGGAGAAAATTCAATTAACTCCGGCAACTAGATCACTCCCGTCACAGCTGCAATCGGCAGATAAGTCTGAAACATGTATGTCATGCGAAAGGAGCACTCGAGTGCGACTTTCGATTCGCTCATTTATCACAGAGGCGAAGATGATCGTCGCGCCACACGCTCTGCTCTCCTTCACCCTTGAAATATTCTAGACGACGGAAAAACAGCAGAAAATAATCTTCATAAACTGTATGTAAAAAGGTTTTATCAAGAATGAAACACCTCGTTAAAAAAATGCTTTCTGTATCAATTTTCAATTCAAAAATTTCTCTTTAAGAATTAAAATTCTAATACTATCTATGCTCAACTGTAGCCTCAGATCTACACTCAGTGAATGGAAATGTTTTTACAAATTCGCATGGGGAGGGGGGGGGAGGGGGAGGAAGAGGCTTACCAAGGACGAGAACTCGGCTAGAACGAAGTCAGAGAGCATATCGGAACCACGGTGGTCAGCCACTTTATCCTCGTGCAGGCAGCAAGCGCGTCCAGCACCATGAACACGCCGCCTATGGCATGCATACGCCGCTATGGGAGTTTGGCAGCAGCGGTCCAGGCCTCCGGCTCTCATGGTGTTGCGTTACTTTCCCACAGGCGAGTCTCTTCCTTCGTGTGCAATTCTTTGCAGGCTGCACGACGCACGCCCACCGTGCACCTGCACACGCGCGTACGTGTGCACGTAGGCGCGCACACACTGGTAGAAAAAACCACGCAGACGAATACAGAGGGTTGTACAGGTACGAGACGAAAATGGTCAGGCAGAGAATGTGGAAGAGAACGAAAGAACGGGAGAAGCACGCATCTCACCTTGCAAGGCGAACCTGTTCGCCGGTACCGAAACCGAATATCGTCTTAAACCGAGTGTTACGATCTGGAAATAATGTTACCCCGGAGGATCTTTAAATTTCAGGCTACGGTGTTATGGCGGAAACGGGCCGACAAAGCGCCACGATGCGGAGTTTAGTTTTGATGGGCCAATTGCAGCCTTCGTGCGTGCAGTTCGAGGAGAAATCTGGGATTTTTACACTCAAGAAAATATTACTGACAGTAGGAAGAATTCTACAATGCACACGAATGTATAAATAACGATCCGAAGGCATGCAAATTTTTAAACTAGATTCGCCATTAAGTGGATCACGAAGGCGAATCGTTCGATCTGTAATGTGTTAACATGGAGAAGTTAATTGTTTCGAGCGGAGAGAATGGTCGATGGCATTTAATGTCAATCCAGCGACGTGGCATCGTCCAGTTTCCGGTCTGCGTGACGGGACTGATTTCCGGGACCGTTCCGTGCTGCATGCATTCAATGGGACCCGAACATCGAGTGGTCTGTTTCCCCCAGTGGTCATCGGTAAGTTCGTGCCTCGTTTCCCATGGGTGTTGTTTTCATCTGTAACTGTACACTAATCCAATCCCATCGTGTTGTTGTTTGTTAAGGGATTTGTTTAACACGATTCTCGTGATAATTGTTCGACATTATGATGGCCTAAACAAGATCGTGTTAACTGATCATTTTCCTAGTCAACGAAGATACCTAACATAAATTGTAAAAAAGTAAAATAACAATTTAAAATTATAGACTGCAAGCTAGCACAAGTTAATGCACTTTCACGAGATGATGTTCTTAGAAGGAGTAAGTGTTTCCTATGTGTGACACCAGCATCCTCCTGATGCAAGTAGCGCAAGAAAACCGGAGTAACGGGGCCCAAAAAATTTTAAGTGGATCGAGAGAAGCACCGCGGGATATCTCTCGATTGCATATCCCGCGGCATTCACTGTAACAAGATTCGCCGACGACATCTAGTTCAGAAGATAGTTCCTTCGACGAGTTCTTCATTCCCATGAGTGTTGCTTTCATCGCGAAGCTCGTCTGACGCCGTAGTAACTTCAAGATCCACTCGATGGAATATATCTCTGAAAGCAAAGAAAAAAAAAAAAAATACCCCTCAATTCTAATTTAAAATTTTCTCTAATAAATACAACATCGAAATATTTCAAATTGGAATTTCTGTTGTTACTGGGACCAATTTCGAAGCAACGCAAGTTGATGATAATTGACCATGTAAAGTATTACAAAAATAGGGTATAATAAAAATGATAAATAACGAAGAATGGTATGTGAATCAATGATGACTAATCTCGTAAGTACTTGCTAGTTTCGATTCAGGTTAAAAAGGAAAAGTCATTCAGGACGGGCGAAACCAGTCCAGTCATCACTTCAGGTGTTAAATCTCAGAAATACTGCAAGTTAATAACCAATTTCCGTTCGCCGCTGAGGCCAGATCTTGCTTCGAAAACGTGTCAAGAAAAAATCCAGAAACTGGGCACGACGGAAGTATTTGAATTTATCGCGAAAGGAAATCGGAACTATTTAAACGAGATATTTGCAAGTGAAAGCATAATAATTCGAGCGTTTAATTAACGAGTAAATGCAATCACCATTAAATAGGTACAAGTTACGTAATAGATTAATTGATCGTGAATACATAGGTTTGGCAATTCGGGAGTGGCTGTGCGCATGTAGAACACCTCCCGCATTTAACCGACTTATTAACTTACATTACACGCTTCGTGAACTTCGCGATTCCTTCAGACAGAATTGACAGAGGGCAACGAGGGGTAACGAATGGGTAAATGGTATAAAGAGACCCTTGACAGATCACAAACTAACGTTATCTTTAAAAAAAAAATTTAGCACGTAATTCACCGCTACAATTCACCATCCCTTAGAGTATTCTTACATTTTTTTACTAGGAATGTCTTTCAGAAATTTTCTCGATCGAAATCATTTGGTCGAAAG